CCTATAGAACTGGCAACGAACACAATCCACAAATAGACAGTCAATGTGCAGACATGGCTAATGCACAAAATATGGCCTCAATATTCCTCCTGGCATAAAGTGTCATTAATTGAAGTTAGGAGTACAGTGTTCCCTCGCTACTTCGTGGTTCGCTTTTACCGGACTCACCATTTTGCGGTTTTCTATATATATATAGATAGATAGATAGATAGATAGATAGCGCTATTTTCGCTGTTTCACAGGTTTTGCCACCACTGCTCTCCGAAGTGCTTTCCCTCCTCAGTCGTCCCTCCCTCCAGCCTTGAGGGGCCTTTCCTTCCTTTCCTTTCCTTCACTTTATTTTAAGTTTATAAAGACTTAAAATAGTGTATAACTATTAAAATAATATATAAATATTAAAATAAATATAGCGTCCCTACATTGCAGTTTTACACTTATTGCGGGAGGTCCTGGAACGTAACCCCCGTAATAAGTGAGGGAACACTGTATTCAAATTGGCGATTAATTTGCTTCTTCCCATCACACACAATGCATTTATCACACATTTTCCCATTATCAAATCCACACTACAGCTAACCTAACAGGATTTTTACTTAAAGCAGTGCTGCAATTCCCCTCTTGGCACCCACTAAAGAAAAGAGAAAATGAGGACAAACATTGCTACAGCACTGGGTTGGCTAAGTCTCCAGAAACAGAAGAGTGCTCACTCACTGCTCTCAGAAGCTTGCTTGGGAACTTGAGTTTAGTTCTCATGGCATTATTTGCAAAGGCCAGATTGAGCAGAAAGGCAAGTGCAAACTAATAAAATGCTAGATCTACTAATTAAAACCCTGGCACTTGGCCAAGCATGGCTTGCTTGTGTATTGATGCACTCTGCAATGTCATGATTTTGGGGGCATGGCAAGTCATTAAAGCATTAATAAGATGACTGCTGAGCTTTGATCACTGCTAGGGTAGAAGCGAAGTAAAAAACAATTAAGAGCAGAGTTCAATAATATCATCAGGGTGTAGCAAAACATGTGCAGTCATTGCACTGATGAGAGGACATGACTGGAGGAAAGAGTCAACACAGCAAGACATTAGAGAAGGGCAGCTGTGACCTTCCAGCTATTAAACAATAGCTTCTAGTTCAGCAATTATAAAATGGAAGATAATAACAATACATTTCTCAGACCAGGCTTGGGTCAATCCAACCTAATGTGGCAAGTGAATTGAAAGAGCAGGTGTGAAATCCTGCTTTCATTTTCCTAGGAGAAAGCCCCACTGAATTTAATAGGACTTGTTCCTGAGAAGACAAAAATAGGTCTATTCAGTGAACCAAGACCCAAAAATTTCTACAAATCAGTAAATTTGATCTTCAATGAGATAGTAGGCAAATCCCACTGAACTAAAATTATCTCACCAACCACCCAGGACAGGGTTAATTTCAATCACACTATCATCACTGGTCTGTCTAATAAGAACCATTCTTGGTGGCTGCTTCCAAGCAGCTGAACTTCCCTCCATAGGAGATCTGACTGACCCCCTCCTTGCTCTCCTTCTGCAGGCAGCCAAGAGCATTTTATTTAGACTGGCCTTTGATGGTTAAATTATTTAGAAGATGAACATTTTGCATGTCAAGTGATGCACTTCTATCATTGTAATTGTAATTTAAATCTGTTTCAAACTATTTTAACTATGTGCTCTAAATAAAATTGTTAGTGTAATTGTATTCTTACCCATAAGTAAAGGTAAAGGTTTCCCCTTGACATTAAGTCTATCAGTGTCTGACTCTGTGAAGTGGTGCTCATCTCCATTTCTAAGCTGGAGAGCCGGCGTTGTCCACAGACACTTTCTAGGTCATATAGCATGACTGCATGGAGTGCTATTATCTTCCTGCCAACGTGGTACCTACTGATCTACTCACATTTGCATGTTTTCGAACTGCTAGGTTGGCAGAAGCTGGGTTAACAATGGGAGCTCATCCTGCTTTCCGAATTCGAACCACTGACCTTTTGGTCAGCAAGTTCAGCAGATCAGTGGTTTAAACTGCTGCGCAACTGGGGGCTCTTAGCCAAATAAAGCAAAATTATAGAGGGACTTTGTTTTTAATATTTGTAAACCACTTTGACTCCCTTACTGGAGAAAAGATAGGGTAAAAAGTTAATTAAATGCATAGTGAATACTCGTCAATACACAAAGTATTATCCAACTGTCAGAACAGCCAGCACTTAAAAGAAATACATATAAAGAAAGTTAATCACGTTTTCCCCAATGCTCCAAGAAGTTTAGCCAGCTAAGGCAAATCAAAATAGTACAACCTAATTAAAATCACATGTAACCAGAGAAAAATAATCAATTGGATTTTTAACAGAGAAGATACCAACAGCTCAATCTACTAAACAATGCAAGTAGCAATACACTAAGGCTGCAACCCTATATTGACTTCACTGGAATTAAGTCCCACTGAACTCAAAGGGCTTAACTCAGGATACATGTATTGCTTGAACTGCTTGGAATTCTCTCGCAGTGTAGTGGTCTCAGGAGAAATATTTATGATCCTAAAATTCTCAACTTTAAAATATCGCAGGCATTGCAGAGCTACAGCTCATCAAGCAAAATGTGTAATATTTAATCATAATATTAAACAAATGCAAATGCGCCACCTATCGGCCAATGTGGAGAACTGTGGTTTGGTGTAGCAGCTGATGTAGATCAGGACCGTGCTACAGATGCAAGGTCACCCAATAGCAGATGTCTAATATCAGACGCTTGGAATTGACAGAGTGCCAATGTTAGAAAAAATATCAACTTGCAGAAGGCAAGAATAACAAAAGAAGAGTTACTGATGCACTGATGACTGGAAGGTTTTTTACAAAACGAACCACAGTAAATGTTTACATAAAACTAAACTTGAAATGCAGTTTTAAGTAGTGCTCCCAGACACATATAACTATGTTTCATTAGAACTGAGTGATAGCAAGTGAGTCAAAACAATGTCAGCTTTTAAAACTGGCAGGCTAAAAGCCAATTCTGCATAAATATTCAAGCATGGGTTGTTTTTTAAAAGAAAAAGCAATGTCTTCAAGTTCTCTGACCATTCAATACAAACATACAGTACAATCTCAGTGTCTGCAGGCAATACATTCCAAGACCTGCTGTGGACATGTCAAATTGCTGATAATAGTGAATCCTATATTTTGATTATATTTGGGCCACAAGCATCCCATAGAATTGCACTGGAGGAGTTAGGGAGGCCCACAAACACTTCTGAAGAGAGGTCTCTTGATGCTGATACTTGAAACTGTGAGTATCAGTCTGTTGACAATACAGTCATACTATATTACTTTTTGGGATTTCCACTTCCAGAAAATAGTGGGCAGAGTGAGTCCCCTTGGGGAGAGAGGGTGGGTTCAAAATAAAGTTTATTGTTTTATTATTATGATGATGATGGAACCGCCGGTGGTGGAGTGGGTTAAACCGCTGAGCTGCTAAACTTGACCAAAAGGTCAGCAGTTTGAATCCAGGGAGTAGGTTGAGTTCCTGCTGTTAGCCCCAGCTTTTGCCAACCTAGCAGTACGAAAACATGCAAATGTGAGTAAGTACCACTCTGGTGGGAAGTCATACTGGCCACATGACCTTGGAGGTATCTACAGACAATACCAGTTCTTCGGCTTAGAAATGGAGATGAGCACCACTCCCTAGAATCAGACACGACTAGACTTAATGTCAAGGGGAAACCTTTACCTATGCCGGTCAGAGAACAGGAGTTGCATTCCAGAAAAGTCATTTCTGTAAACTCTGCATTGAAAGGCATCCATGATCTTTAACTGTATTCTTTATGCTATGCTACTAATTCAAGAGAGTTTTAAAGAAAGAGCAAAAGAGGCATAAAGTTGCAAAATAATTCTAAAGGCATTTTGATGTGTACAATCTGAGCTGGTTCAGCAAGGACTCTGCTAATTATACAGCATGAAAAAAATGTGCCATATCACTGTACTGTCACTGCTGTCCTGAGACTGTACCAATAAATAGTAAGGCAGGCCCAAAGCCTGGGGGTGGAGGGGGAACACCACTCCTTCATAACAATGAGTAATTAGGTCAACAAACAGGTATACACATAAATAAAAGCAAAACAAAAACAATGGAATGGAGCAGAGAGCCCTTTGGCTAACCAGAAGTTATATCTGGTTGAACTGATTGCATTCAACCACTGTACCTGAAGCATAACAGGTGTGTACAATTCTTACACCTGGATACATATAATTTCCCTTTGGAAGCAAGGCCTACACAGAAAGTCAACCATGCATGAAACAGGCCTGAATTTACAAGGTATGGCATCCCGCTGAATAATATGAATTATCACCCTGATTTGGGGATCATCTTACAATCCACATTTGCACATTGGTGAGGGACTGAAAGAAGACAGAAAATAATGGCCAGAGAACCTAATTACATACTCTCTTAAGGAAAATAATGTAGATACTATTTGTTAACAGGTTGTTCACAAACAAAGCAAAGTTAACAGGTTGTTCGCCAAAAAAGCTGGATGTCGACACAACATACCTCCTTTCTGTTCTGTTCTCTCTCTGTCCTGTCTATCCAAAACAGTACTGAATGTTTGCCATGTATGTGTACTGTGATCTGCCCTGTGTCCCCTTGGGGAGATAGGGCAGAATATAAAGTGTTTTATTATTATTATTATTATTATTATTATTATTATTATTATTATTATTATTAAAGCTAACCTGGTTAGAAGGCAATGGACATTTGAGGATATTGCACCTTTTAAGTTCTCAGTATTTTCTACCAAAATCAAATCCATCTTTGCTATGATTGCATCTGAAAGGCAAAGCTTTTGAACAAATCATACAATGTTGCCAGGCACTTGTGAAACTAAACAGCTTTCAAGGGCTACCTTTTAAAATACTTTACACAGGCAGAACATTGAAGAGCTACAGACCGAGCATGGTATTAGTACATAGCTAAGTCCAACTGCAGCCAGCCATCTCAGAACTCACCAGAAATAGTGTGCAAATCTGATGCCGTCCCCTTGTTTATGAGTTCATACTGGAAGCCTGTAATCTTCCGACTAATGTCCAGCTGAGGAGTAGCTTCAACAAAGAGTCCGCCCTCTTCAAAATTGAAGCAATGCACTCGGGTGGGGCTGTGGTCTCCATCTCGGACCAACAGTTTTAGTTCTCCAGTTTTTTCCAAATAAATATTTGCTCCCGCGGAGTCCTTGAAAGGCTTTATGCAAACAGTCCAATGTTTGGAAGAGGAAGATAAAATATTCGGTCGCAGATTGACTATCAACGCTCCTGTGGGATACATCCATTCTATGGATCCTTCAGCACAGCGGAGGTAGACCTGTTCAACATCTTTCTTGTGAGACTCGTGTGTTAATCCACTGGAGCAAAGGAGGAAGAAGACAGAAATGTTGTTAGAAAGATGCCAATAATATGTGTATCTGACAAAAAAAATACATTTGCAGAGATGTGTAGGTAACTAGTAGAAACACTGCTGTGAAGTACAGTTTCAGATAGATCTCAAAAGTTTAAGATGGGTTATCATTGAGTCACAAAGGGTGGACATCCAGCGCAAAAGGTCACAACATTAATAACCATGAGCTGAAACCATACATGACATTGGTAAAGTTCAGGCTATTAACTTTAATGTACCGAAGGTAAGTGACAGAAAAACTTGGGAAATGTATGGATGAGACAACAAATACTAAGCCTCAAATCCAGCCTTGTACTACAAGTGCATCAATCACCATCAACTTCTTTTACTTGCATGCAGATTCTTATACAGTATCATGGTAAACTGGATGAAATTTCGATTAAGGATACGTGCTTTTTAAAACCACAAAGTCAAATGGCTTTTCCGCTGTGCAGGCAAAGAGACACACTATGTTCAAGATCAACCAGCATTTAAATTAATTGTGGGATACGTTATGGCAGGGGGAGAGTAAATAGGAAGGACACAAGCCAACATATGGTTTCCATTTAAGAGTGAAGAGGTTGACATTATGGGGGAGGTCAATACAACATTTTGTTCAAAGGTTATATGAGGAAGCTCCAAGAAATGCCATTTTTAATCATCATCATCATAATGCCTGCAAATATACACTGCTGAATAATCTTGAAAGCCACATCAAGAACACCTGGGCTTGTGGGAGAAGAGGTTGGTTCTTGACTATGTTTTGTCCCCCAGCACAAGGAAGCACTTGATATATTTGAGAAATGCACTTCTCAACGGGACACTTAAGGAACAAAGTGTTGTGATCTGCTTATGTTTATGTTTTATGGCTGTGGAGTCCAAGATTACTGTCATAAAAGGGCCAGAGTGGTCTGGAAGTTGTATGCACTACTTGATTCCAAGTTATGGTGACACTATCACAGAGTATTTTCTTGGCATTATTTACCCTAAAGAATCTTGCCATCACTTTCCTCTTAGGCTGAAAAAGTGTAACTTGCTCAAGATAACCCAATGGCCACAAGGCAAACCTAGAGCAACACTAAAATGACAGTAAAGACAACTTCTCAGCACAGTATATGAGGCTCATAATGTGAAGATTGTATTGTCACAAAGTCAGACCCTGGAATGTAATGGACATTACACCAACCTCAATTCTAACACAGAAAATGCTGTTATGGTCCACCTCTCAAGAGACTGTTATTGAATTTGAATCTGAGGACCCCCTCTCCTCTGTCTTAAATGTGGGTCTTTGTTTCTCAGCAAGAGCAAACATGTTTAGAAGCACTCCACATGTTCCTCCACTAAACCCTGTATTGGAAGAAAAAAATCCAAGCCCAGAAAACCTTCAGGTTCCTGATAACCTACACTTTATTGTGATTATATCAAGGAAACAAGTTTCTGAATTAGTGTGTGATTAAGATTTGAGTGAAAGAACAGTGCAAAAACCAAATAACACACCACTTGAAACTACTTCAAGTTCCAAAATGTTTGCTCTTTATAGAGATGAAAGGCAATCAAAAGGGAAAGTAGAAGTTCACTGGAAAAGAGAATGAGGATTTTGCTTTGAAGTTTCTGCATCAAGTGACCTTGACATTGCTGGGACAATGGATTTACGCACCAGTGGGTGGCTCTGAGCTTTACATGTTGCTGAAAGGAAAGTGGGCACAGACTTCAGAAGTTTCTCTTGAAGACAAGTGCATCCTATAAGCCACAAAGTACCGTAAAGATGGAAAAGCAAGGTTTCAGTGAGCAGGAAATTTGGATACACATTAAGGCCCCTGACAGGATGGTGACCTGCAATGCTTGGTACAGTTTTGTTCAAAAACTTAAATTGACCTGGCTTATGTTTTATGACCTAATTATAGCTATAGGTAAAGGTAAAGGTAGTCCCCTGACATTAAGCCCAGTCATGTCTGACTCTGGGGTGTGGTGCTCATCTCCATTTCTAAGCCGAAGAGCCAGCGCTGTCCGTAGACACCTCCAAGGTCATGTGGCCGGCATGACTGCATGGAATTATAGCTATAACTATTCCCTATTGTAAGTAGAAATTGAAGGATATATTTGGTTTGATAGGCACTAAATGTGACTCAGAGCAATGGGTTCAAATTACAGGAAAAGAGATCCCACCTGAACGTTAGGAAGAACTTCTAGATTGTAAGAGCTGTTCAACAGTGGAACTCTCTGCCTCCAAGTCTGGTGGAGGCTCCTTCTCTGGAGACTTTTAAACAGAGGCTGGATGGTCATATGTCAGGAGTGCTTGGTTGTGCTTTTCCTGCATGGCAGGGGGTTGGACTGGATGGCCCATGCAGTCTCTTCCAACTCTATGATTCTAGCAAGTACAGCGGAAATTATGGAGCTCTTTACAAAGAGTACTTCCCCATTTCCTTTATCTTGCATACTTAAAACTGAACAATGTTACAGTCATAGTTTAAAAAGACAACCTGTGCCCTTATAACGAATAGTATCTACAGAGTAGATCCAGGAAATCCTTGTGGTGGTGGTAATAAGTCAACTTAAAAAGGCGAACAGTGGTTTAGGGCAAAGCAGAGGAATACCATTATGTCTAATATTTCATGCTTCCTGGGAGAAGTTGCACAATCTATTCTATTTAACTATGAGAAATAACTAAAACAGGCTTGATGAAACAGATGTCAATATACAGCATTTGCTCATATGTCAAAGATGAAGAGGACAACTTCTAGGACAATTCAGAAATTAGTGCATCTTTCCTCAAAGCAGTCTTCAACACAGCAATGTGGTGATGTAGAAAAACAAGCTGGAGGTTTTTTTTCTGCCTTAAAAGGTTTAATCTTGTACAGGTCACAAAGTTGCTTTTAGAAAAGAATGAATACAATGGCATGCTATTTGTGATTGAGCAATGGTAGGCTGATGCTCTGGGCATGGAAGAAGGCTCTTCATTCCAGAAACTCCCTGATTGCCCCAGGATATGCAAGACACAATTGCCACAAGCTGTTTTTGGTTTTGTTTTTTTAAAGGAAGGCTAGCATTGAAATCCACCAATTCTTAGGAACTGTTGTATGCACAGGGATGTTACTTTGCACATGATTCTTCTTTTTAGGACATCGGCAGGAGAACTTTTAATCTCGCAACACTGGTGCTTAGAGCAAAACATGACCCACAGCTATGCAACCAACATCAAAGGAGATCAAGATTTGACCTTGGTCTTCCCATACTCAAACCCTATTCCTCAGTCTAGCTGCTAAAAGTCTAGCACAGTGGTCTCAACCTGTGGGTCGCCAGGTGTTTTGGCCTACAACTCCCAGCCGGTTTACCAGTTGTTAGAATTTCTGGGAGTTGAAGGCCAAAACATCTTGGGACCCACAGGCTGAGAACCACTGGTCTAACACATCACTACAGCTCATAAAAGTAGGAGAGCAGGAAAAGCTGTAGCATCACCTGCTTGCTTGTCTTTCAGAAAACCAGAGGTCCATGTGTTACCCAAATAGCAATGATGGGGAAACTTTTTCAGCCTAAGGGCCAACTGCAATTTCAGAGAAGTGGTGAAGATGGGGATTCCTGTAGTGGGTGGGGCAAAGGAGTGGGACCAAGGATTGCATTATATATCAGTTTATTGTTCTTATTGCCAGTAACTAAACCTCAGAAGAGGCATTGCAACATTCAGAATAGGGAGAAGGACACAAGAAAATCTGGGAAACGACTTAATAATGGGCAGGGAGAGCACTTCAGAAGGTCACACAGGAAGAGTTGTATTCAGCCTCAGGGCCTAAGGTCTCCACCCCTGCTACCATGATCTTCTTATAGTCATGTAAAAAAGTGCTGGATCACATCAAAGACCTCTGAAGCCCAACCACCTGATTCCCATCATGGCCAACCAAATACCTATTAGAAGCCCACAGGCAGAACACAATAGCAGCACATATCACTCAGCTATGTCCCTAGGGCTGAAGTTAGCAGGTAGCCATTGAGGATTTCATTCTGTATAAAAGCTGTGAGCCTGTGTGGTATAGTGGTTTAAGTGCTGAAAGAAGACTCCAGAATTTAAATCCCCACTCAGTGGGTAACCTTGGGCAAGTCATACAATGTCTGTCGAAGGGAAAGTCGAAGGCACACCTCACTGAGATAAATCTTAACAAGACAGCACTGGGATGGGATACGTGTGACATATCTTGAAGACAAGCAACAACCAGATTCTTCTATACCTGTGATTTCCAACTCTGGTCTTCCAAGTATTTTTTACTTCAGTTCTCAGAATCTCTGACTACTGGCCAAAGTGGCTGAGGCTGCTGGGAGCTGGAGTCCAAAACACTTGAGGTTTGGCAATCGCCACTCTACACCAACAGCTAGGACTGGATCCAACAATAGCTAACGGGCCACACATTAGTCAAAAGCTACTCTGTGAGAAACTCAAAGGTGTTAGGTAGTTTTTCCCCCAACTCTATTCCCCACCCCCCAAAAACACTGATATGATCTACCACGATTTGCAGTAAGTATGTCTTAACCCTGTTTTGGTTAGTTCCATCAAATATTTCACCCCAAAGTCAGATGTTCTTGTGAAACTGTAAATGTCAGCAAGAATGTGTCATTCCCTGAAACTAAAATACTTGATGACAGATGTGGGGGGAGGGGGTATGGTTAGGCCACTTCTGCAACAGGGAAGTGAGTCATGTTGCTTATACACATCCCTTGTGGTTGGCATTCAGGGCACTGAAAAGCCCAGAAGAGAGGCTTCATTCATCAGCAGAGTAACATATTAATGAGAGCTGGCTTAGGAGAATGGCTGAAAGACTGAAACATAAGCCGGGAGGCTGCTGGTTTGGATCCTACCTCTGTAAGGGATTTGTGAGATCACCTAAGGCAAGCCATTCTCCCCAAATGCCACGCTCACACAACACACACAAAGAATGATTTTTCCTGCTTTGCTGTTATGTCTAAACATAGGGTCAGGTG